TTATTACATTATCGGAATTCATCGTGTGAAAATACAACAAGAGTATATTTAGAAAATATGAAAAAAAAAATCCGAGTCATATTGGCCGTCCTATGAAAAATCATTCCGAGAAATTAAGGAGGAAAGTAAATGGTGCTTATCTTCGAGAAGAAATGTGGAAGTTGTTCTCTATGCGTATGCATCAAAGTTGGAGATTGAGAAACCGGCCCATTCCTTTATCATCGACACAACAGATGATAATATCAAGAATTTATTTAGCGAAACTGAGTGGGATGGAATTATGAATGTTAATAAGAAAACTGTACCGGCCATTGACAAGGATATTGGGACGCATTTGATCAGCTACAAAAAGAAAACCCCCTCAGAAATGCGAGCACATGTTATGAAACCGTGGTTAAATACGACTTATAACGTAGAAGATCATTTCGATTTTCAATACATTCATATGGTTTTTTCACATCTGTTGGACGAATATGAGTCTCCGAAGAACCGATTGGTACAACCGCATGCGGAAGGGTGGTACGCAGTCAATAATTGGGGTATATTAATTGATAAAGCATTCTTAAATGTTCCCAGCATAGATCTTGTCCGTGTAGCGTTGCATCAAGCAACCGAAGGAATGATGATGAGATGTACACGGTGAAAGGCAATAGAAAAGCACTGGGGCATCGAATTGATGGTATTGTTCAAAACTTAGTCAACAACTGTGAATACGGAGGAATTGAAGTCGCGAAAACATGTCAAGGTCTACATGATAGGAAACAATTAGGCGATTCGTTGAAACTCACAAAACTCCTTAAAGACATATTTCATCAACAATCAGGTGTTGTCGGCTATAATGAAGAGAGAGTAAAAAAATTAGAGGTTGTCGGTCTGTTGCATTCGCGCCTTCAATTACAACAGTTCATGATGGATTTCGGAGGTGGTTCTTGTTTACAGCTTAAAAAAGAAACAACGAGAAATATTCCTCTGCATCTGGGTGACGTAATGGGGCTCATCCATACAATCGCATCTGTCCTTCAGGCCAAATTGAGAATTCAACGTTACATTGAAGTGATGAAAAATGAAGCTGAGGACGAATCATTCTTACTAGAAATCACACAACCTCCTACACCACCTAATACTGTATGCCTTGCAAAAACAGAAACGACTCCAATAAAAAACAAGTGACTGACATGATATATTCTGTAGACATGTTCTGGATAGAAAATAAAAATATATGCTAGATTATTTTTCACTTGTAATCTCTAAGACGTTTGTTTTTACAGTGTATGGAAAAATAGCACCTTTGTATTTTCTTTTATTAAATAAATGTTATAAAAAATGCTCAATGCAAAAAAACCCATTGCGAAAAATAATGCATACAGTAGCAATCATAAGCATCTGACCCCCCTGGCGTTACATAATATTATATTGTACACCCCCCCAAAATTACAAGGCATAAAGTGTAACACGAAACTTGATCACCGGTACTTTTATAGGTTTGTGTGACATTTTTTAAGCGATCTAGATAATGAGTGAATTTACACGCCACAAAAATGGAGCTTTCGCTTGAGAAGCGATATGAAATCGTTTTTTTGCACGAACATCCAGCTGGACCGAAGTGGGGTTATGAAAATATAGCTAACCACATTCATTGCAGTAAATCCTTAGCTATTTATTGGGTCAAAAGGTATTACGAGGATCGGGATCTAAGCAACAAAAAAAGATCAGGTCGGCCACGCATTACAACGGCGAAGCAAGATAAACAAATAACAAAGATGGCAGAAATAGAACACAATATAACAAGTAATAAAATTAAAAAAAATTTGAAGAGAAAAGGTATTGAGATTAGCGAGAGTACCATAAAACGACGTCTTCGAGAAAATGGAGGTTCGTATACTAGCGAGATTTCCAAACCTTTGCTTACCGAGAACCACCGGGCGAAACGACTACAATGGGCAAAAAAACATACATAAAAAATTTGATTGGAATAAGGTTGTTTTTACTGACGAAAGTACATTTCAACTATTTTCGGGAAAAAAAAAGGTCTGGCAATTCATTGGGCGAAAAAAAATATTTCGTTCTGTTAAGCATTCTCAGAAAGTTCACGTGTGGGGGTGTTTTTCGGCTTCAGGGTTTGGTGAACTGGTGTGCTTCCAACGAAACCTCAATGCTAATTTTATGTGTCATATCTATAAGCGTGATCTTCTGGCTTCCACTTCTAGGCTTTTTGGTAAAGATAATATCGATTGGTTCTTGCAGGAGGACAACGATCCCAAACACCGTTCGAAAATTGCGACAAATTGGAAGGCAGAAAATAATATCAAGGTATTTCCCTGGCCGTCGATTTCCCCGGACCAAAACCCTATAGAAAACGTATGGAGGTTAATAAAAATTAAAATATCAAAAAAAAATATTCGTTCAGTTACACACTTAAAATCAGAACTTACCAAAGAGTGGAGACGTCTCTCACCCGAACTTGCTTTAAAATTGGTAGACAGTATGAATCGTCGTATAGATTCACTTTATAAACTCGAATGGCGACTATACATTATATTAAATATCATATTTAGTAATGTATTTAAAAAAAAAAAAAAAAATTTTTTTTAATTTACTTAACTGCGCGGGAAATTAGGGGGGTCAAATACTTATGATCACTACTGTACATGTAACAATCATAGAGCATTTGAACTTTTGAGTTTATTCAATAAGACCTAATTCTCAAAGATGCTCTGGAATAACTATATTTGGGTCTTCATAATACCAAACGTATCTTAAAATGATCCAATTTTCTTCACATGATTCTTTCTTGAGTTGATCCCGCTCTTGCTGTCTGATAAAATTATTGGGATCTCCTTTGTGAAAGAATTTGATATATTTTTCGTGTTGTTCTCCTTGTACTTCGATTGCAAAACCATATTCTGGGTAAAATATATCAAGTTGTAGACCTTGAGGGGATTCAAACGTTTTTAAAAAGTCTGGCCAACGATTTTCTGACGGAGATCCAAGATATTTCGTCACTAACATTAATATATTGATTGGAAAGACACTTTCCACCACGATGTTCAGCAATTATGACAGCCTCTTTCAAGGTAAGGCGAATATT